CAGCCTGGTCTCTCTGCTGCTTGTGGAGGGTCCCAGCCTGGTCTCTCAGCAGGTCATGGCAGTGTCTAGGCTCAGCGTGCAAGTGGATCGTGCCCGGGCATGTTCCCAAGTTACAGAGGGAGATCGGCAAGGGGGCAGTTTTAGCAGCAGTAATGGTATCTGCAGTGGCAGCTTTGGGAAGAGATAGCTGTGGTCTCCCGGACAGTGAGATAAACAGAGGACTGATCAAAGTCTTTTAACTTATTCCATTAGTTTCCTAGTTTAAGCACAAAAAACTTTAATGTTAACTATTACCTTATTACTTTATTGTTCTACTTATTCTATTAAGTAATGCTTAACTTTTAAACTCTCATTTCTCTTATTACTTTATACCTAAGTTTTTTTATACCTAGGTACCTTGGTACCTAAAATGGCGCCATAAAAGGCGACATTATACACTTTTCACTGTACTCTTGTGCTTCTGTACTTGAGTACACTTGACAATAAAAACCTAAAATCTAAAAAAAATGGAGACAAGGCACGGTGGCTCAGTGGTTAGGCCTGCTAGGATTAGATAGGGTGGACAGTGGGAGCCTTTTTCCTCGGATGGTGATGGCTAGCACGAGGGGACATAGCTTTAAATTGAGGGGCGATAGATATAGGACAGATGTCAGAGGTAGGTTCTTTATTCAGAGAGTAGTAAGGGCGTGGAATGCCCTGCCTGCAAAAGTAGTAGACTCGCCAACTTTAAGAGCATTTAAATGGTCATTGGATAAACATATGGATGTTAATGGAATAGTTTAGGTTAGATGGGCTTCAGATTAGTTTCACAGTTTGGCGCAACATCGAGGGCCGAAGGGCCTGTACTGCGCTGTAATGTTCTATGTTCTATGTTCTATGTTCTATGCTGCCTCACAGCACCAGGGACCCAGTTTCAGTCCCACCCTCAGGCAACTGTCTATATAGAGTTTGCACATTCTTCCTGTGTCTGCATGGGTTTCCTCTGGGTGCTCCAGTTACCTCCTGCAGTCCAAAGATAGGTAGATTAGCCAAGCAATTGGCCATGCTAAATTGCCCATATAGTTACAGGGGTGGGTCTGGGTGGGATGTTCTTCCGAGGGTCAGTGGGCTGAACAGCTTGTTTCTACACTGTAGGGATTCCATGATAATTACTATGCAAAATGATATTGAGCTGAAAGTTAGATCAAGGGACAATAATTTTTGGGAACTTACAAATGGAGAAAAATACCCAATTCTCTCATCCTGTGCTTTCAAAGTGAAAACGTACATTGACTCCACATTCCTCTGAGAGGCAATGTTCTGCCAAACAAAGATAATTAAGTCCAAGTATCACACCCGCCTCACAGATGCCTATTTGATGGACTGTATACAACTCACAGTCTCAGGCTAAAATCCAGGCTTCAAGGCACTGCCAGATAATGTGCAGTCACAGGAATCACACTGAGACTTGGTGAGTACAGGACAAAGTTTGTTTCCTCTCCACCTATCCTCTCCTCTATCCATCTTCTATCCGCCTCCCACTCTCTCCCTATTTATTTCAAAACCCCCTTCCCCTCCCCCTTTTCTGATGAAGGGTCTAGGCCCGAAACGTCAGCCTCTCTGCTCCTATGATGCTGCTTGACCTGCTGTGTTCATCCAGCCCTGCACCTTGTTGTCTCAGCTCATTACTAGTACTTGCTTTTAGATTTATACAGCATTAAAAATAAACTGTATATTTTCTTCAAGGCAGATCCTGGGTTCCACTTAAATTCACAGTGATGTGGGGTTAAAGAGTTTGGAGACCATTGACATCACACAAGGCCAGCAGAAGCATAGGAAGACCACCACCCACACATTCTCCTTCAAGTCACTCGCCATTGACATGGAAATATATCATCGTTCCATCACTGTCACTGGCTCAGAATTCTGGAATTCCCTTCCTAACAGCACCCCGGCTGTACCTGAACACACAGACTGCAGCAGTTCAAGAAATCAGCTCACCACCACTTTCTCAAGGGCAGTTAAGGTCAGGCAATAAACGTTGGTCTGACTGGTGATTCCACAAGCTGTGAATGGATTTAAAAAATCTCCGCAGAGCACAATCTTAAAAAGCAATTTGTGAGATGCACACTGGTCCCCACTAATTGCCTAACACTAGCTGCCATTGTAATTGTGTCAAAGCTGGCCCAGCTCACAGTGTAGGACTGGAGATGCGTTGGAGCAGAGATGGTTGCCTCATTCTATTCCTGGAGGCCTGCATAATCAATTGAGCTGACACCAGCTGATGGACAGAATAACATAGTGTTTATGAAGTAGACACAAGCCATTCGGCTTACCAAGTCTGTGCAAGCATTTATACACTACATACCACTCTACTGTGTCTAACTCGATCAGAACCCCCATTGAGTCCTAAAGCACAATGGTAGTACCCACATATCTGGATAGAAGACCCAGCTTCAAATCTCACCTGCTCCAGAGGTATGTTGGAACAGATTGATTAAAAATATCCATCCTTCTATTCCTTTGTCCTCATGCATTTATCTCACCTCTTCTTAATAGATCTGTTATTTTCCTTAACTACTCTTCGTGTTAGTAAATTCGAGATTCTATTCACTCTCTTGGTAAACAATTGGTTCCTAAATTCTTTTTTGGCATTATTAATGACTATCCAATGTTTATGACCCCTAAATATTTTGCCTGGTTTACTCAGTACTATAATGATTGTCACAACCATAAACCAAGCCAATGTGACTCTTTTCCAATGTAACCAATGGTTGCCACTGGAGTTAAATAGGATAGTAACAACTAGGAACATATTTGTTTGTTTGAAACTGGATAAGGGAAGTCATTAGTTCCATCTCACAGCCTAGCTCTCTTTTGTTTCATTAACCATTCATCTCTTGCAATTGCTCAAGGTGGATTTAAGAATTCAAAGCTCCTTCTGAAAAGACAGCAAGCTGATAGCAGCCACATAGCTTGAATGGGATCAGTGTTATTCAGGTCTTTTCGTGGTTCTGCTGAGCATCACAGTTTAGTCTGACATGTCCTTACCTGAAATCCATATTTACACCCTCTTCAACATTGGGTACCAACACTGATGAGGAGCAGGCACTTTGCTGATATTTCACTTCCCTGATAGGATATGTGGGTGAGGGATAGCATAAACAATTGTAAAGATTCTATACTGGCTGGTATCAGCTAACTCAAATCCCTCCAAAATAAAACCGGGGATCATTTCCTTTATATATCACATGACAGCATCAGGCACTATCGTTACCCAAGTGGACATTGAGCAAACTGTGAAACACATGTATAGACATGTTTCATGGCTTTGAGTACACTGAGTAAAGACCAAGACCAGGCCAAATATGTTTAGAGACGAGGAAATTGTGAGGAAGGTATGATATTGAGGGTGGGGTTTTGCGACTAAACCAAGGCATGTGGATGGATTTAAAACTCCACGCTAAAATGATTAAAATCTGTCCTTATTTTTGTATTATCATTAAAATCCCAAATCCACATTTAGAATGGCAAGATCCTATGAAAACGTGTCATGGTGTTCATCACATTCCCCTGTTCTTGTTGGCAGTACAGCACCACTACTGGCTGGAGGGTTATATACCAGCGTGATACGTTTACATCTACCATTATAAACAAACTTACGAAAAGTTTGAGAGGAACTCCATATGAATGTACGACAATTCGCACAGATTTCAAATGAAATTCAGGTGGCATTAAAAGTAATTGTTTTTTTTTAATATTACACAAAGAAACAAAACAGGCTCGGATTGTCAGTATCAGTCTCCGATTCTCAAGAACAGCCAGACAAGCTTGTAGAAAAATAATTGTCAGATGAAACTATGGTCAAATGTTCATCCAAATAAAACATGAAAACTAATTTTTTTTTTATTTTCACCTTGGACAAGTGGATACGCCATTTTTTATTTACAGATAACATACAGTGCCATAAGGGTTGCTAAACTAACATTCACTAATGTGACATGAAAATTGACACCAGCAATTACAAGACATCTATCACAAGTAAAGCTTTTTCTTTCACTTAAAGACTAAACATAGAAGTTTCTGATTGAAGTGCTAAAATTGAAAAGAAAATGTTATTGCCTTTTATTGGAATAAATAATTTTATAAAATATTATTTCTTTTCATGAGGTGGCATGTCCAGCAGCGAATGTTTTTGAAGTAGGCAGTCTCTAAAATGGAATTAAAGCAATCACTTGCCTTAGAACCAGCAGCATGCACTTCTCTCAATGAATATAAATTGTACATATTTATACTGCGGTGAATGTTTTGTCAATATGTGAATGGCCAAGCAGCATGCACATTTAGACAATACACAGACATTTTTTTCTTTTTACATTTTATAACCCATATACAGTCAATTAATACTGAACCCCTGTGAGTCATAATGGTGTAACAGTGTAAGCTAACAGTGTAAATTTAGATGTATGTGAGCTGTGTCACATTGCTTTCCAGTGAAGAGTCCACGTTCTAGTTGGCTCTTTGGGTGATTTATTTTGCTGCTGTCTTTATTGGTACTTACTGGGCCAGCAGCTCACAGAAAACCTCCAAGTTGGATGAGACTATAGAATTGATTCTTCAGCTTACAGCCCGTGTGTGAAACTGGTAACCTGGCCAATTTCCATCTGCAGTGATTTAATCTTATATAGCTGGTGATCGATTGGCATACACTTTTGCCTTCCTGCTGCTGCCTCTGTTTAAAAGACTTATTCAGTTTTATCTTGAAGGTATCTCCTCCTGGATAAACAATTCCAAGAACCAAACAACCTTTCATTCATGTTTCCTTACAAACTTGCTGAATACATCTGATCTACGTGCTTAGTTTTACCTGTGTCTGTTATCAATCCCAATTTTCAACATGCAACAGCAGCTAAAATTCAATCTTACAATTGTATAGCACAGAAGGAGACCATTCAGCCCATCCTGTCCATATTGGCTTTGCCTGGCTTTCCCAGCTCAAGAATTCTAATCCTACAATAGAAGATGTCGAGATTTTCTTTTATTCCCTCCAGCCTCCTCTCCAGAAGTTGATTCTTGCTGGAATATGGTTCCATCACTATCACTATCTCTTCAATTTTCCAGTCCCATGGGACATTCATCAATAACAGGTATGGATAACTGAGTACTAGTGAGGAACTTGTGATATCACAGTTGAGCCTCAATCTATCCTCATGTGACATCTTCCCAATTTCCAACATGCATCACCAAAATGTAAACAGATTTGGAAACTTTTATCTGATATTTTCTTTCCATATCCTAATGGCATTGAGACTAATTGTAGCTTCCTTGTTCCCAACTTGGTTGCTCTCTCCTGAACCCGGGACCTTGTGGCCTTTATGTCTCAGATCTTATGCGACGCGTACTAAACAGATATTTGTAATTAATTTCTAACAAACTTCACTCTAACTGTTGGACTATGCTGAGTTGCCTTTTAAAAGCTAGTAAAGATAAAGTCAGCATAGATCCAAAGGATCTCTCATTAGAGAGAGATGACTGTTGTAGGGTTAACCTGAGTGTCACCACACCTCAGACAAGGGATGAGGTTGAGAAGGCGGGACCTTCACAATAACCTCAAACAGGCTGCCTGGGTCACTCTGCATTGCAAAGCAGTGTCCAACCAACTGACAGAACTCACACTCAACACCCCCAAAGCTAGCACCTAACTCCAAATATAACAACATTGTTCCAATGGTAGGAGATAGGGATTTATAATCATCTAGAAAGGAATAATTTGATTAGGGATAGCCAACACGGTTTTGTGAAGGGTAAGTCGTGCCTCACAAACCTTATTGAGTTCTTTGAGAAGGTGACCAAACAGGTGGATGAGGGTAAAGCGGTTGATGTGGTGTATATGGATTTCAGTAAAGCGTTTGATAACGTTCCCCATGGTAGGCTATTGCAGAAAATACGGAGGCATGGGATTGAGGGTGATTTAGCAGTTTGGATCAGAAATTGGCTAGCTGTAAGAAGACAGAGGGTGGTGGTTGATGGGAAATGTTCATCCTGGAGTTCAGTTACTAGTGGTGTACCTCAAGGATCTGTTTTGGGGCCACTGCTGTTTGTCATCTTTATAAATGACCTTGATGAGGGCATAGAAGGATGGGTTAGTAAATTTGCAGATGACACCAAAGTCGGTGGAGTTGTGGATAGTGCGGAAGGATGTTGCAGGTTACAGAGGGACATAGATAAGCTGCAGAGCTGGGCTGAGAGGTGGCAAATGGAGGTTAATGCAGAAAAATGTGAGGTGATTCACTTTGGAAGGAGTAACAGGAATACAGAGTACTGGGCTAATGGTAAGATTCTTGGTAGTGTGGATGAGCAGAGAGATCTCGGTGTCCATGTGCATAGATCACTGAAAGTTGCCACCCAGGTTGATAGCGTTGTTAAGAAGGCGTATGGTGTGTTAGGTTTTATTGGTAGAGGGATTGAGTTTCGGAGCCATGAGGTCATGTTGCAGCTGTACAAAACTCTGGTGCGGCCGCACTTGGAGTATTGCGTACAGTTCTGGTCACCGCATTATAGGAAGGATGTGGAAGCATTTGGAAAGGATGCAGAGGAGATTTACCAGGATGTTGCCTGGTATGGAGGGAAGGTCTTATGAGGAAAGGCTGAGGGACTTGAGGCTGTTTTCGTTAGAGAGAAGAAGGTTAAGAGGTGACTTAATAGAGACATACAAGATGATCAGAGGATTAGATAGGGTGGACAGTGGGAACCTTTTTCCTCGGATGGTGATGGCTAGCACGAGGGGACATAGCTTTAAATTGAGGGGTGATAGATATAGGACAGATGTCAGAGGTAGGCTCTTTACTCAGA